TTTATGATGGAGTCTGGTCCATGTCTTTCACTCTATAAGTCAAGTTTTCCCCTTCTCTTTATAGCAGTAGCTCTTCCTGAGAATGGAGAAATAAGGTGGTCGAGGTGGGAATTACCAGAAGGAGAGTCTGGTGGCGTTGGTTTAGCTTCAGGCCGGGCACTCCAGACTTGCATGAGCAGCCCACCCTGTATACTTTGGGACAGATTAATGCTGGAGACAGGAGTAGAATTCTAATGAATTTTCCTGCGGTGGCCAAAGAGAAGGGTCCTGCCCAGAGATGGCTCTGTAAGAAGTCTCTGTCATCCCACCCAAGGAGGAGATCACAGGCAGGTGGATGGGGAACCTCTATCTCCACATAAACTTTTCCCTAGGACCGCTTGGATCTCAAGAAGGGACCCTAGACATGAACTTCACGACAAAGGGCTTCCAGACTGAGTAAGCTCCCCCAAAGACACTCACATTCAAATCCCTCAGAGCACAACATATATGATCTTACATAGCCAAAGGCACACTGCAGATGTGACTATGCTGAGCATCTGGAGATGGGGAGGTGGGCCTGGAGCGTCTCGGTGGCTTCCATGTGATCACAGTGGTGCTTGACAAGAGGCAGGAGGTCAAAGCCAGGAGATGTGATGACAAAGGCCTGTGTCCTGGTGAAGAAGTGTGAGTCCGTGCATTTATGATGAAGCAAGAATGCTCCAGGGACCATGCATGGTGGCAGCAGTCACTAGACAAGTCTTCCCACGATAAGCTGACCTTCCTGTGGGCCCAGTCTCTGATGTCCAAGAGGTGAATTCCAGAATGTTTTCTACCTGGAAGGTCAGGTCTTCTTTCATCCAGAAAAGCAGTCATGGCATGTCTACACACACACATACACACACAAACACACACACACACACACACACACACACCTACCTGCCATTCTGCATTGTGGCCTAGAGGACTGGAAAGAGAGCCCTCTGCTCCACACTATAGCTGCCTATCAGACAGCCAATGGACAGAGCTGCTGAAACCTTCAAAAATATGTCCTAGGGGGCAACCCCTCACGTTGCCCTCCAGGCAGGGTTGAGCATTTGCTAGCCTCCTGGATAGAGTCACCTGCAGCATCCAGGACTGGGGCTGCTCAGGCCACCATAACAGAATACCATTGAATGGGAGGCTCAGACACCAAATCTGGGGCCTAGAAATCCAGGAGCAAAGTATTGACAAGGTTGGTTTCTGATGAGCCCCCTCTTTCTGACTTTCAGCTGTGACCGCCCTTCTCTATGCACACATATGTCTAACGTCTCTCCCTCCTTCTCTCAGATAAAGAAGGTCCATCGTCATGACCCCCATTTAACCTTCAAGGCCTCATCTCCAAACCCAGTTACACTGGGAGCTAGAGCATAGCATATGAATTCAAGGGCTAGAAGTCAGCCCATAGCCTCCCCCTTTCCCATCTGTCCCCATCCTGTCCCAGCTCTCAGCCCCTCCAGCTATCCATGGTGAGATGACAAAGGCCACATCATATCACCCGGGGACCTTTGCAGCCTACATAGAGGCTAGAGAAGTCCAGGTGTTCCTCTGGAACAGCAGACAGGGAAGCCAGACAGGCCCCCCTCTAACCACGGGGTGAACCGAGTTTCTGGAGAAGAGAGCGCACGTGTCTGGAGTCCTCAGAGCCCAGACCATTCACACCCCCCCCGCCCCCCCCCCCCCGTCACACAGCCAGGCTCTGAAGCCGACACTGGGTGGAAACCACAGCGTCTGGGGCAGCAACTAGGACACAGAACGGGCTGGAGATGTCTGTGCTGCTCGTTGGCATAAATAACCGTCTGGCAGATGGAATCTGATTTCAGAATTACCAGCTTTTCTAGGACACCGCAACCAACTGGGAGGACAATGGGATGGAATATTAAAGATGTAAACCCAAAATGTGGTCCTCCCCATAAACCTCACCAGGAGAGAACTTCCCATAGCTCTCCCTACCTGCACCTGCTGAAGCTGAGATTGGGAGTGCTCCCCCACCCCAAGGACCTGTGATTAAGGCTCCTCTGTCTGTGGCACTAATGGGAGCTGGTGGGACCTTTAGAAGGTACCTAGTGAGAGGGAGCCATGTCATGGGGTGTGTCCATGAAGGGGGTGTTGGGGCCCTAACTCTTCAATGTCACTTTGTCTTTGTTTCCTTGTTTCTATGTCATAAACAGAGCTTTGTTCTAGTACGAACTCCCTACCATGAAAAGCTGTCTCTCTGCGGAACACCACAATTCACCAACCAGAGACAGAAGCCCATGACACCCCAAATAATCCCTTCCTCCTTGTAAGTCAGTTTTCTAGGGTGGTTTATCCTCATGACCGAAAGCTGGCTTACACACTCCGTATTGCTGTGTGGATGAAAAATGATGTTCTATTCACCATTGTGGCTCTAGCACCTGGTGCTACGCACACCCAGGAGGGATCAGATGAGGCAGAAAGGTACTTCAAGAAAGCCCAGGATATACAACCCCCATACTTCAGGCCAAGTCAGCTATGTCTTTTCACCTTCCTTGTACAGAGACCTCTGGCTGCCAAATGTCCTACCTAGGGACCTCTCTGTCCCTGAGTGCAGGCAGGCTAGGATTCCATCCATAAAGTGATAACCATTTGTACAGGCTGACAAGCATGAAAAGGAGGTTGGACATCTCTTGTAAGGATGCCTCTCCAGGCAAGCACCTCTTCTAGGAGGCAGGAGTTGGCAGAAATAGGTCCAGGAGACATATGTGCAGACACCCACTGGACTTTGCAGGGATTGCCTTGCAGGCTGACAAAGCTCTTCTTGTCCCTCTTAGATCCAAATAAATCCTCAAAGGCTGGTCCAGATCACAGCCAGGCTGGTCCAGGGATGGGCATGTCCATGTGGAGTCTTAGGGCCAGTTCCTCTGATTCTTCAGCTAAAGACCATCTCTGAACAGTTCAGATTTCTAATCCATCCTCTCTCTGTTGGCTGTGCCTGGGACTTCCGGGAGTCCTGCAGGCTTAGAAAAGCACTTGGGGCTTCTCTATTCTTTGTTTATTGTCCTCATGCATAGGGAACATGCATCCAGACTTGGGCTCCAGGGAGTTAGTATGGAGACTGTGACTGGGGTTAGAGCTGCAGAGAAGACCTGATTTTCAGGTCTTCCCAAGCACCAGTTCAAAGCTGCTGCCAGGGGTATGGCTGGCCCAGGACACTGCCAGACACATACAGGCTTATCTGCAGAGGCTCCTAGTCCCCTCTCATGGGCCTTAAGAATAAAGCTCCAAGAGCACAGGTATTCTAGTCTCGATGTTAAATAGAGCCCTGGGAAAGAAGGAGGTTCTCAACTGTCAGGGCCTGAACTTGGAGACCAGCAATGAAATGTCAAGCTTGGCTATGGGATACAACCATAGCCAGAGGAGACACACCAGACAGCCACACCAGAGGAGAGAGCCCAAGGCCACAATAATCCTCAAACGAAAACTGCAACTCTACTGACAAGAAGAGAGAAACAGTTCTGCCCAACTCATTAAGGCCCAGCCCTAGCTCCTGGCCCAAATCTGCATATGGTTCCATGGGTGGGATGCTAGGCTGTAACTACTGTGGAGGGGTAGGGCAGGCTCCCCTGCTAACCTGGAAGTGCTGCACCTGAATCCCTTAAGACACACACAGTAACACAGTCGCACCTGGATAGCTCAGCTTGTCGCTCAGTCAATATTACAGCAATCCAGAAAGATCAGAAAGGAAGGACTCCATAGAACAAAAACAGAAAGAAAGGTTAACCAGAGATGTACAGAGCTGGACAGGGACCTTCTTTCCTGTGGTAGCTCTGAAGAAACTGCCACTGCGTGAGGTAAGCAGTCAAATCTGTTGTCTGCTTGACCAATGCTCCCAAAGTCTTCTGAGGTGGGCAAGAATGCCCCAGGTATAAACAAGATGCTCTAGGCTGGCATTTGAGATCTGGTCACTAGAGGGCGCTCCAGGACTAGCGCTGACTCCTGGGCGGGAGCGTTGAGGGCTGGGTTTATTTATTCCCTCAACATTCATCTACAGAACCTCTATGCCAATACTAAATGCTATAAAAAGTTAGAAATGACTCATATTTCATTAGAAAGCCAAGCAAGATAAGCAAAAAATAGCGCATTCTTGTTTACCCATCGGTAACTTCTCTCTCCCGTTAGTGCTTTGCTAACTTTCTTTCGTATCTTTGTCTAACTGTTGCCTCCTCATTGAGCCTACCCTTCTGGCCACACCTTAAAGCTCAATATTCTTAATCTTGTTCAAAGTCTCCACCCAACCCCGTGGCACTGAGACCCACACGCACTTTCCATTTGCTTGTTTCACGGTGTTTGCTTTGTCTAGTTTGCAGTGCTAGGAATTGAACCCAGGACCTTGTGCATTCCAGGCAAATGCTAGACCGGGCTTTGCTCCTAGGCCTTCATGGATTCATCTGTTGTCTCTACGGTTTGCGTTTCTGCAGAACACAAGCTTTGTAACGTGGGAGGGTCTTTCTGTGTGCTCACCAACAAACACAGCCCCTAGAGCAGGGTGTCACATCCTAAAATGGTTCAAAACAAGTGACAATTTAGGGTTAGGACTCAGCCATCATCATTCTTGTGGTTTGGGGAAAAAGGGCTTAGACGTAATAGGCACCTTCTCAGAGGAGGTGACATTTAAGCTGGCATGAAGGATGAGCAGCATCCAGTGACAGACAGAGAAGGCGAGAAACACAGAATGCCTAGTGGACAGCAGAGAAGACAGAGGCCAGCTGTGTGATGTTGGGTGTGACCCAGGCAGATGGACAGCCCAGACGCCCCTCTTGGCGTCGGTACTGCCTCCTCCCCACAGCTGCTGCAAGCTGTGTCCCCCAGGGATGACCAGAGCACCTGACAGGAGCCAGGCTCTGTCTCTCGGCGGCCCTCACCTTTCCCTACTTCCTGCTTTCGGTATGGGTGCCACCGCAGGACACTATTCTGAACCCCGCCGTGGGGCAGCCACTGCTATTCCTGTCTGTTCTGTTCTCCCTTCTGCCACTAGGAAGAAACAAACCACACAGCTCCAGGAAAACAATCCATCATTTTGTCATAACATTTCCATTTCAAAGACTTCCTTTCCAAGCAGCTCCGCGGGCTAATGCTTCCTCTTATTAGCAAGAGAACTGGCAAGGAGGTGAGTGCTGGGGAGGAAGGGGGGCTGGAAATGGACAGGAGGCCTGAGAGTTTTGCCTGTCAACTCTGAGCAGTGCATGTGCAAACATGTGCCTGTGCATGAGCATGTGTGTGTGTCTATGTCTGTGTGTGTCTCTGTGTCTGTGTCTGTGTGTGGACCTGTGTGTGTCTGTGTGTGTGTGTTTGTCTGTGTGTCTGTGTGTCTATATCTGTGTGTGTGTTTGTGTGTGTGTGTCTGTATGTGTGCCTCTGTATGTGTCTGTGTATGTGTCTATGTCTGTGTGTGTGTCTCTGTGTCTGTGTGTGTCCCTGTGTGTGTGTGTCCCTCTGTGTGTGTGTGTGTGTGTATGTCTGTATGTGTGTCTCTGTGTGTGTCCCTGTGTGTCTGTGTTTGTGTCCTTTCTCTCATGTTTCTCCCACTCACTATTCACGGCATTCTGTCAGAGGTATATAAACCACCAAGGCACAGATGCCTGCAGGCACAGGCTGAGCCTCTGTGTTGTGCTGGGAACTCAGCCTCACCATACAGCTGAGGATTCAGAGGACAGACAGATGCCCCACCGTCCTGAAGCATCCCTGTCAGAGACATATGTATAACTGTGACTCAGAAATGCTGCTTTAAATGGCACTTCTGAGTGACAGCCCAGGAAGCAAAGGGGTGGGGTACCATTCTAGAGCAGATGATATTTAAGTTGGTCTGAGTGTGAAGAGAACTGAAGGTGCGAGAAGAGAAGGGCAGAGCAGACAAGAGGAGCAGAAGGTGACTCAAAGCCCCGCTCCTGGGTGCTGGGTGAGGATATACACAACAGCCACCCAGGGGCCCCCGCTGTTCTCTCTGCAGACTGGTCCGCCACCAGACATAGGCAGTGGGAAGTGTTTGTGTGCCAGCCCAGTCCTGAAGAGCATCCCTCACCCTTGCCAACCACACAGATGTGCTGGTGGTCCCTTCATTCATCCCTGGCAAAGCCCAGCACACAGAGGACCCCGTTGTATATAGCAATTCTCTAAAGGCAGTTAGCCCACCCTTCCCCCACTGTCCTTGCAGTGCTATCAAGACTAAACACCAGCCCGTTCAGGGACATTCTGAAGACAGGCTGTGGATGCGAGACCTGGTAGATGACAGAAATGCGCCCGGAAGGCGGCTAGTGTGGAGAGCATCACAGGCAGAACACTGGCCTGGGTTAACAGCAGGACCAAGGCCACAGATCACCGTGCAGGCCACACCCAGAGGACCCCAGGATGGGGATGCTATGCCAGGCTTACTGTGTCCTCACCAGCTTCTGACATGGAGCACCACCAGGGCCAGGTGAGCATTATGAAGCGAGTGTGTTGGATTCAAGCCTTGAGTTTATGACCGTCACCTCATTTAGACTTTCTCCACGGTCTCCAAATGAGGTTTGAGTATTTAAAACACAATTGTTAAATGTAAACCTCTGAAACACATAACAGGATTTTTGTAAGCTAAACCAATAACTCTTTTACTTCTTTTTTTTAAAAAAAATCTATACAAAGACTGGAAATAATGAACTGACCCAATTCTGTCTCACTCTTCACAGACAGACTGCATTGGTCCTGTGTATGAAAAGTGAGGCTTGGTGAAGCCAGTTCTCACTCCTTCCCAGTAATGGCCTTCCTTTCCGGCCCCTGAGGCTCGGAGACCAGGGCCTAACCACTGAGGGTACCACTCCTGTCCTGAGATGCTTTATAGTTTCTCATGCCTCTGCCTCAAGTCATCCCAGACTCTCAGCTCCCCAGAGAGCCATTCCTCCAACTCTTCATCCCCATAGCCAAGGTCTGCTCCTTCCCTGTTAGAGGCCATCCCTGCCCCTCAGACCCTCCCAGGTACCACGGGAGGGTGGGTGGTGTCTCCACTGCCCTCGTCCCTCATCTCTATGTGTTTGGTTACTTCTGAGAAAGACCCCAGGTCAGTAATATAATTCCACCATCACCCCCACTGGGACAGTCAAGAACATTCCCACCCTCTCTCAAGTATCCTCTGAAGTATCACTACCAAGTCAGGAACTTCCAGCCCCAGACTCTGCCTATCTTACCCATCCTCCATTTGCCCGTTGTCCAAAGTGGAATGGAAACAGGAAGCAAGGGGCCTGCCCCATTTCAAGGCCTTCCAAGAGAGGGGGGTTGGCTCCACCAGTGAAAACAGGTCTAGTCCTTCACTACCACTGTGCGACGTAACTATAAACGCAAAAGGCTGACTCTTGTTGACATGACAGACGTCTGAATTCTTACATTTTCCTAGGGAAAAGCCAGTCAAGAGGAGGCAGTACCAGCCCTGAGGAGATGACTCAGTCAATAAGGTACTTGTTTCATGAGCATGAACAGCTGAGCTTGGGCCCAGAAGCCATGGAAAGATGCTGGGCATAATGGTACACAGTTGTACCCCCAGCACTGGAGACAAAGCCGGGAGAGTGCCTGAGGCTCCTGCCTAATCAGTGAGCCAGCTCCAGGCCAATGAGAAATCCTGTCTCAAAAGAAGTGGACAGTGTTCCTGAGGATGATGCTCAAGGCTGTCCTTTGACTTCCACGTGCTCTCCTGCACAGAGAGGGGTGGGGGTAGGAGGAAGGGGAGGAAGAGGGAGTGGGAGGGAGGGAGGGAGGGAGGGAGAGAGAGAGAGAGAGAGAGAGAGAGAGAGAGAGAGTGTGTTCTCACCCTGTTATGGCTCTTTCATGACTGTGCCTGGCTGAGGGTGAGGGCCTTCCATTGACACCACAGTCCTCCCTGGGAACTCGACAGCTGGCCCCTGACCTCAACTGCCAGCCTCACAGCACACCAGCACGAAGATGCCCTGGGCACTGATGGTCAGTGTGTGCCCTAAGAAAGAACTGGACACTGCCCGGGGTTCCAGTCACCACAGATCAGCAGCAGCGTTGGACCCTGGACCCTTCGGGGAGCTCCTGCATTTCCCATCCTTGTCTGCAACAGCAGTGAAGCCCTACTCGTTGTTAACCTGGAGGCATCCTCTCCACGGCCTGAGTTTCCTTGGCAGCCCCAACACCACACCCTTGCCTCTAATCCTCAGATGGCCTCCTCTAGAAAGCTCTAGAGTGGGAAGACAGGTGGACAACACATGCCTAGTCTCCTTCACCTCAGCTTGAAATAGCCCTTCCCTTGGTGAAAGTTCCTACCAGACAACCATAGCCCTATCCCTCCCCAGCTCATTTGATCACAGCTCTGCCCACACAGTACATGGCAGACAAAGCCCAACCCCATATTAGTGCGGAGCTTCAGTACCATTAAAAACAAGAGAAAACGGTCTTTGAAGAAATGCAGTGTTTATTAGGAGCTTTCCACTTGATGTGTGTGTGTGTGTGTGTGTGTGTGTGTGTGTGTGTGTGTGTGTGTGTGTGTGTAAAACACGATCTGGTGTAGTTGTACAATCAGATAGCCTTGGCCAGCCCAACACGATTGTTGGCCCTGTCGAAAACACTGTAGAACTCCCGGATGAAGACATCCCCCAGGATCCACATCTGGGAACCAAACTTGAAGCCACTGGAGCAGGAGCCCAGTTCCTGGAAAAGGCAACACTGAGATGAAGCTGGACTCAAAGACAAGAGGTCTTCTACCCCATCGCTCAGTTCCTCTCGGTTGTTCCATTTCATCCTCGAAATCACCTTCCCGGGTAAGCAAGGAGAATGGGATTCATCATGCTCAATGGATGAAGGAAGTAGGGGTTGAAGAGATGGCTCAGCAGTTAGCAGCACCTGCTTCTTGCAGAGGACCAGAGTTCCCAGCATCTACACTGGGTGGCTCAAAACTGTGTAAGTCCAGCTCCAGGGGATTGTATGCCCTCTTCTGGCCTCCACAGGCAACTGCATTCACAAGCACATCCCCACCCCACCTCTCCACTCACACACCACACATTAAAAATAACTAAAAATAGAAATAATGGACTGGAGAGAGGGCTCAGGAGTTAAAAAAAAAAGAAGAAGAAAAAAACACTTGTGCTTTTCCAGAGGATCAAGCTTCAGTTTCCAGCACCCACATGGTGGCTCATTACCATCAGTAACTCCAGTTCCAAGGGATCTGATATCCTATCCTGATCCCCATGGACACTAGCTTCTCACATACTGCACATACAAACATGCAGGCAAAATACTCCGACACATAAAAGAAAAGAAAAACATAAATTTTTGTTTTATTTTTTGAGGCAGGGTTTCTTTATGTAGTTCTGACTGTCCTGGAGCTGGCCTCAAACTCACAGAGATCCTCTTGCCTCTGCCTCCCAAGTGCTGGGATTAAAAGCAAAAAAAAAAAATCTTAAAAAAATTAAATGTACTTTATCTGAGGTTATTCGGTGAGGACCTATGGCTCTGAGTCCTGACCCCACATCTAACCCCTTACCTTCACACTGAACATCCATTGCCCTTAATCATCATTAGTTTAGGGTACTCAGGACCAGGCCATGTTGAGGCCAGCAGTGCCCACGGCAGCCAAAATGAGCTATGGAAACCCTGGATAGAATTCTGTGCTGCCAGGGCTTGGAAGTTTGAACAGTGGATGGGGGTCTCTGTGCTTGGTTTGGGTCCAATCTCTATCCCTCCTCCAAGCCCTTGGTGTCCTTTCTGTTTCCCGTTTCTTTCAGCAAGAAGCTATAGAGGCCACACAAATAGGCTCAACGATGAATATTATGGCCCTTGCATGCTTTGTCTGGTCCGTGTCACTTGTCCTTGCCAACTCCATGGACTTGCTAAAGTCCCAAGGGAAGGGATACTAGGTGGACCCAGAGCATCGCTCTCCTGAAGCTCATACCTGGTTGATATAGGCTGAGGGTGGTAGCGGAAACCTCCTGCCATGGATCTCAAAGACAATTGTGGGCATCATCCCCAAACTCCAGCAGTTGACTTTAAACTGAGAGAAGGGCGAAAGGCGGCATTTATCCAAAGAGGCACTGATGGCACAGAGCTCCTTCCTCCACACCGTGGGGCTCTCCTCAGAGAAAAGCAGGGACACCCTCCAGATGAATCTGGGTCTCAAAACATGGTCCCACAGGAGGGATCGGCTTTCGGCAACACAGGGACAGAGCCCAGCATGGGACAAAAAGAGGCTTGCCTCCATATCTTCCTTCCAGATCTAGCCAGAGTGCACAAGGGCCTCAGGGAAAAGGGGAGGGGCTGACTGCTGGCAGGGGTGAGGAGACTGGAACAAGAGAGTAGCACAGAGATCACAAAGGCATAGCCTCTCTGCAGACCAACAACTGGCTCTCCCATAGCAAGCACAGACCAAAGCTGGAAGGGACGGTTGTCCACTTTGGAAAACTGGGCTCAACCAACAATCCTCTTCATTTCTTGGGCAGAAAGGGGCTCTTGATTCGCGTGGGCAGGAGGGGGGTTCTCTAGAGGTAAGGAGAGGGCCTGATCTTACCAGGCCATACTGGCCCTGCACAGCCCCAATGACCTGCTGGATATTGAGGATGTCTCCACCAGGGCCTGCCAGCAGGGCAGTGCCTGTGTCCAGAATGGCAGGGCAGCCACCTTGACAAGCCACCACTTCATCATTGATGGTGATCCTGGAAGATTAAGCATAGCGGCTACACAGTACCAACCTGTATCCTGCCCTCTCCCCCTGGGTCCTTCCCACTCCCGCCAGGATCCTCAGGGAAGGAAGGAGGTCCAGGCCCCCTTTTTTGCCTCTTCTTGGAACGCCCAAAACTTTCCAAATTCAGAGAAAATTCCCCTCAATTGGTGGCTAAATTGAAAACAGTTGCAAGGGTCCAAATCACAGCAAAACAATCCATTTGCCTGCCCCTCCCTGAGTGGAATAAGGATTGACTAGTTGCCCGAGGATCTGGTTTCAAGTTTTCTCTGCCATTTACTTGATATATGTCTCAGATGAGTCTCCCCAACATTTGTATATTGGGCTCCTCATGAACCAAATGGGTACATGAGCAATCCCTTAAGCAACTTAAGGATGGCCAGAGGCTCAGACCAAAGGTCTGTAACCTACACTCTGAGGACAATACTGGCACCCACCTCCTACAGACTTAGTGGGAAGCAATGAGACAGCCATTGTAGACCTACAGGCTCAACACGGTGCCTCCCAGGCAGGAGGCAGTCAGTGTGGCCAGTGCAGGGTAGGATGCGTAACACAACTACTTGCAAAGGATGCTAGCCTCGCAGCTGGCTGTCAGAACCAATCAATAATCTCAGAGCTGCTGGGTGCACGTCTTCTCAGCCCTTTGCTCTTACTCCTGAGCCCCCGTATCCACACATCAAGAGTCAGCCTCCTGCAGGGGCCCATGCACCGTTCTGCTCACCCACCTGTCCACTGTGAACTGCCAATATCCCTGCACGGTCACAGGCACCCAGTGCAGCGGGCCTACGAAGTAGGACTGATCGATGGCCCCCAGCGTGAGCATGCTCCCCTGGTCATTCCTGGAACCAAGAAAGGCCTCTCTGTGGCAACAGACACCCCATGGATGAGGAGCGCCCAGTCCCACCCCGAGGCAGATGGATGGAAACCCAATCCCTCCCTTCCACCCACCCCAACAGCTGCAGTTCCATGCTCCTGTGATCCATAGCCCTGATTCATCATTGCCACGGGACAGGACCAACAGGTTCTGACCTGCATCCCTGGTCTTCCTAGCACCCCCATGAGCCTCCATCCAAGACATCCAGAAAAGGAATCTTCAACAAGGCCCTAGACTTTGGACTAAAACCATCTCCTGAGTCAGATCCCTTCTGCCCCCTCTGGGGTACTATTGCGTGCTCAGTGGGGCAAACTCACAAACTCTCTCATCTACCCACCCCGCTCCACCTCCTACAACTCGAGCCCTTCCTACCTCTAGAACATAGTACCTGCTGCCTAAAACCTGCTGGCTTTCTAGCCCTCGCCTGGGTAACTCCCACTCAAGTTTGGTGAAGCCTGCCTGCCTTGTCCTGTGTGCATGTTCACACACATACACGCAGGCATACAAACCCATGTCAGAATGGACATACGTATTTTAAGGTACCCATAAACCCCTATTCGCAATTTCTTGATTATAACGTGAATTACTGTGTACGGACTAGTCCCCTTGCTAAAATCTATCTTCCAGCTTGCCTTGTTTGCTGATGTGTATGTGTATGTCCCTGACCTGACCTCTGCATACAGAAGGCCTAGCAAAAATGCATGGAGTTGATGAATAAATGAATGAATGGATGAATGAATGAATGAATGAATGAATGAATATCTAAATGCATGCATGAATGAAAGGTACCACCTTATTTTTTGCCTAGGGTCCCCTCTCCTCAGCTGTCAACTCTTCTCCTAGGGGTGGTCTCTTTCTCTTTGTACAGTAACCTACCCCAGTGAGCTGAGCTAGGTCATCATAAGAGCAGGAAGGTAAAGTGGGAAGCCCTGTAACAGGCGCCCTGGGCTCCAGGTCTGGCTTGGACACTAGCTCCTGAATAAGTGTCCTTCTTTCTCTCTCCCTGGTGGAAGGAGAAGCTAAGACTCTATAGGATCTCAAAGACGATGTCAAACGATCGCCGAGATCCTGTGTTTTTGGAAGAACGTGATAAAAGCCCTCATCTAGAGATGTGACTAGGCTTTGCTTTCGTTGCTTTTGTTTGCAGGACTGGCGATTGAACCTGGGCCCAGCACACAAAAGTCATCTTTCTCCCAGTATATAAACAACTTCAGTGAGGGCTTTGGACAGTAGTAGAGGTGCCTAGAAACCAGAATGGAGATCGTTTGGATGCTGGTGGCTACCTTGACAGGTATGCCTCCGAGGGGCAGACATTCGTCTCAAATATATGTATATGTATGTATCTGTGTGTGTGTGTGTGTGTGTGTGTGTGTGTGTGTGTGTATCCAGTCCTTACCAGGTAGAAAGTCAGACCCTTGCTAAGCGCAGTTCCTACCTGTTCATGTAGACAGAGAACAGGTCTTCGGCGACCAGGTGCCTATTCATCATGTTGTCAAATATGGGGACTGAATACTTGGAGGCGAGAGAAGGGTAGGACAGCCCCAGGATGCCATCGAATGGAGAGAAGACGAAGATGTCACCCGGCTCCTGGGTACTCAGGCCCACAGTCTGGTGTGTAATTGTAATATCAGAGACCTGCGAAGAAGAAGAAAAAAAACATAGCACGATGATTTTCATGGGGAGCTTCTGCAGCCACAGACAGGAAAGTTCAGGGATGGAGCAGCCAGCCTGGGACCACGGGTCAGGGTCAGCATCCAGCCCTCGCTGGCCTTTCTTCCCTTTTATGGATAATTTGGGGTTATTTTCAATGTAAGAGGTTGCGGTGGGCTGGGCCCTCTACACTTT